ATGGGGGCAATGCATCAATATTAGAACCTAATTTAAGATAATATTCCAGTTCAATTCTGTGTCTAAACTACTCGATCATTGGAGCTTATAAGCTCCCGTGCAACGATGAACATCTTTTAAGAAAAAAAAAGAATAAGAGGCACAAATCGCGCTCTTATTCACGTCACGAAATTATCATCAAGTTATGAAAGTTTGGTGAAGTTGCATGGTTGCTATGATTAGGCGACCACATGACCCTATCCACATGACTGCTACTAGATAGCAGTCATGTGGATAGGTGAAATTACCTCGACTCTAACAGGCACAGAGGCGGCCTCAATACAGGAAGGTTCGCAAGCAGGTTGGCATGCTGCGACACACTGCACTGGCGGTTTCGTGACTGGCGTAGTGCTCTATAATACTGTTTTAGTTCACCCAGTTTCCATTGTACACAAAGCAACAAGACAGGAAGCAGCCATACCTCTGTGCAAACTGCTGTGCACTGACTGTGACAAAGGTTACCACAGTGATCTTGCGGTAGCCGTTCAACACATTGCGAGTTGCACGACTGAAAAAGTATGTCTCGTATACCTTTACCAGTATATCTTGACTATATATAACGCGCTCGTGTTCGTCTGTCTGTCCGTCTGCACCTTATTCTGGTGGTGTTAGAGCAAAACTCTTACTTTGGTTTCATAACAACGCAGACGCCGCCGAAAGGAATTGAACGAAAGTGACCCGTTCATCCGAAACCTAACATGCACTGGACATCCGTGAACTGACCATCTGGGAAGCTCCACCTACGAAGGGCATGGTGTGCATACGAATGAAGATACTTTTGAGACGGGCACGAATTTCGATGAAGTCATCAGGCGACCTCTTCACTCTTCGTCTGAAGAGCAAGGGCAACTTGCTCTCCAGGCCTCAACTGTGCATCTCACATAGTTCGCAGCTAGTCATCGAGGTGTTGGCTTGGCACTTGAAGAAAAGACCTGGGGAATGTGCCTGCTGTGGCTGCGAATTGCAGACACTGCGATATTGCGCTGTTTCTCAGCATTTTGGTGGGAACGTTTTCAAATTCTTGGCTTTTATCTAGATGACTACACTTTTTAGATTTATGCTTGGAATTTCAAGCATCCGCCTGATTCTCCTATGACCTATCTTTCTCGGTGTTTCTCATCTCTCCTCACAGTTTTTCTAGACAGAGCACTTTTTTTTAATGAAAATCCAAAAATCGCAAGCGACGATCACGGTAGATGCGCCTCTTCTCGCCGCCTCCATTTTAGCCTTTTTCTGTGACTCATTTCAGTTATTTGTGGACGCAATTATCAAAAATGACTGGGTTCTCAGGCATTT